TCCTGCTGTGTGCGTCTGGCCACTCGGTTAACACACGTCTGGTGATTTATCATTTTGACTGAACAGGCAATAATACCGTGTCAATGCACAGCTACTGCATAATAAGCTCATTTCGAAGGTTTTAAAAATTGAGATTGCCATACCGTGAAAAGTTTGCTTTTATGTGAAATATACAAACTCACCTTTTCCTTCTCTACAAAGTCAACGAAGGTGGTTCTCTCTATTTCCACCGGCTGACCCTGTCTGTCGTATAAAGCCAGGACGAAGTGGAAGAAGTTGGACTTGCGAAGGTTGGAGGGCGGCTGCTTCTCGAAGTGAGCCCGAGCGAGACCCACGCCGCTGCGGACACAAGCACAAACCAGCACAATCCACAACGACGGCAGTTAAAATAAATGCACTCAACAAAATGCAACAGAGCAGAGGTCTGCTTCTAAAATCCAAGATGTTTCAGTCAGTCCTTTCTAAAATTTGCAGTCACACATGATTTATTGAAAACCTCTTTCTAATGCACACAAACGCATTTGCAGCTTATTCAACAATAAATAAATAAACAAATAAGTAAATAAATAAATAAAGTATAGGCCTAAAAGTTTTCAATAATTGCAGTCGTGATTTGGATAGGACGCTTGTTTTCGTGATTGTAGTCGATAAAAGTGTCTTTTCCGCTTTAACCCCCACAAACTTGGTTATCAAGTTTGGTAACACCAAATTTGTATTTTATTTTTTAAGGAAAACAGCTGAAAACACAAATATGCTTTCGGTGTCTGAAAATGAGCCTGCTCTGCTTTATTACAAACAAAAAGTCAGCTGAAAAGCACAGCAGATTTTCCACACACCAAAGTTAATCTAAGACTACATTTAAAGCCTTTAAGACTTAAAAAAAATCCTTTGAGATTGCAGATCTTTGCGTCCAGGAACTTGTTAACCTGGTATTTCATCATATTGGAAACACAGCTAAAAACTTATAAAGCCAGTGGGAGCAGTGGTTATCCAACAACTAAGTCCTCTGGGAACGCACGCTGCCAGAGGTGATGCAGCCTCTCCGTCTTTAACACCGCAGATCTTAATTTGCTCTCCCCCGGTCTCCACGCCCCGGTGTCAGCCCAGCGCAAAGGCCGCCTCAGGCTCACCTCTGGGCGGCTGTGTTGGCGTCCAGCACTCCGGCGCCCTGCATCCATGTCCGAACCGCGTTCATCCCGGCCACCATGGGCTCTTCTTTCATACTACTCCCACTCCTCTGGATGCTCTCGTGGATGCCAAACATCAAAACGCACCTTCACACCGCCGCTATCTCTCTCTCTCACGCTCTCTCTCCTGTCGCTCTCTCTATCCTCCTCTCCTTGGCTCCCTCCTTTTTCCCTGCCTCCCTTCCTCTTGCGTCTTGTTTGATCGCGCTGTCAGAGGAGCAAAGTGGCTTGGTCTATTTCACTTGGCGTTTAGTTGAGCGCGTGTTTCTCAAAGTAGACAAACGATGCGACACGTGGAAGGAAAAAGGGGAGTTGTCAGAATCCAGGGTTAGCTGCACCTCATGTCAGCGTCTCCGGAAGAAAAAGAGGTGAAGCAGCAGCTATGAAGATGAGCAACGTTGAAAGCGATGAAAGGGGAAGCGCAAGATGAGAGGCTGCACTGAGTTGGCGACAGTCCCCCGGATCAAGGTGCAGCTGACAAGAACACAAGCGAAATGTCAGTAGATGGGGAGGGGGGGGACAGTCCACAGTGAGAAACCCAAAGAGAAGAAACACGTTTCACCCTCTTCCACTCCGTTTCTTTATTTACAAAGTCTTTTCCTCTGTTCAGATGAATGAAACGGAAGATTACGCGCAATTAAAAAGCAGTCCTGGGCAACCGCGTCTCCGCTCCTCGTCAGCTCCTGCTCGGGTAATTTGCGCTCTTTTCTTCCCTGAGGAATCACTTTGGACCATCTCTCGGATGCCAAACAGGAGAAAATAGTAGGTGAAGGAGGCGTGGTCTACAATGCGAGCAGCAACGCCCACAAACAGAGTTAATAAAACGGACAATCAGCTGTCCACCAACCCAACCAGCACGCTGCCCGCTCGCCTGCCTGCTGTCCCCGCCTCGTCCCACACTGTGTCCCGCCCCAGACACTTAGCTCTGCACGGTGTGGGTGTGTGTGTGTGCGTGTGTGCCTGTGTGTGTGTGTGTGCTGTCTTTTTGTGCATACGTTTAGGAGATGACAATTAATGTATTCACGACTATCAAACATCAACTCATGCGAGGGCATGACTTTAATCCATGCAGTTTGTCCACAAAGGCAGAGTGAAGGGCAGACCCGCGGTGGTTGTAACATCTATCGTCTACTTGCTGCATTGTGACTTAAGCTGCAGCTATAAAAATGTGCCCCATCTAGTCTTCAAAACAAGTGGAAAGACAACCCGATATATATATATTTTTTAAATGTGCATTAGATTTTGTTTAGACAGAAAAACGTGCAAAAGTACAGTGAGAGGAAACAGAGGGATCGTTGCACCTTCCTGTGTGCAGATATGCGTCAACTTAATTGTGCATCAACAAATGAGCGTTCATATTTTAATTCCCTACATTGTGCGTTTCTAAATGAACCAGCCTTGATGCCAAATATATTTACTGGAACATAACATTTAATTTAAATGTAGTGCTTTCGGATATCTGAATCATTCGTGTTGAGCAGTCCAAGTGTTCATTCAGAGTATCAACTCCGGAAGATTAGGAGCTTAAGAAAAGTTTCAGCTCACCAAAAAGCCTGGCAGCCGCTGCGCGCTTTTTTTCTGTTACAGCCCGATGGTTTGAAATGAGCTTTGATTAGATGCATTACATAAATCTTGCGGGACTAAGCGCTGAATCCAACATAAATATGAGGATTACAGATAAACTGTGTCCCGCTGTCCAAAAAAATTGCAGTCACTCAAAAGTAACTGCTCAAACACAAAAATTGCAAAAATAAAATAAAAAGTGTAGCAAAACATTTGCATGGTTGCTCAGAGAACCATGAAACTGCACAGCGGGCTCACATGAAAACGGTTCAGTCCATTTTGCAGCTCTCCTCATCTGTCCTGGTTTCCCCCGTCATTACAGTCATTTCTAAATTGTCAAATTGAATTGTCTGGGGGCCATCTGTTCAATAAGTACTGTTTGGTTAATTGTAATGAAATGGGAAGAATGACAAGGTCGTTTTTATCTGGATTTTATCTTTGAAAATTACGATTTTTATCAAGAATTGTTGGATCAATTTGATACGATCAGTGCACTTTGGTAAAACTGCGCAATGCCCCAAACATTCACAATAACCACGCGCAATTTTGGATTATATAACTATAATTCTGTAAATCTAATAACCTAAAACAAGTTTTACTTTCATTTGAGCAATATCCTCATCCTGTATGCAGCCAGCAGACTGTCACATGAAAGTCTCAGCCACTTGCAGTCTGATAAATGCCATAAACGGTCAAGGTTAGACTCCGATCCCCCGCAATCATCTCGTCATTGTCTATAGCTGTTTATTTATGTCTCCTGCTGTGGGAGGAGAAATGTGAGCACCCTATCATTTGAGTACACGACACGATAAATCGTGATAAATAAAAGCAACTCGAGATAAAATGTTTGTCTCACACACACAGACTCAGGTTTACGGACACAAACACACACACACACACACACGTTCAGAGCTATCCTTCAGCACATTTGTTTGACTGTGGCCGGGTCTCTCGCCAGGATCTGTCTGCCTTGGTCGGCATGCGGGGCAGCGCGAACACTACAGGCCCCTGGGATGGCGTATATTTATATCCCCGAGCACCAACACACACTGTTAGCCCAAATATCACTGTCTCGGTGTCCAAAAACAGAGATGTCTGTCGGGGCCCGATGATCCAGCCATGTTAACACTGTCATGTATTAACTCCATGGCTCCCAGAGAGGTTTACAAAAATTGCTGGCCATTACGCACACGCTGGAATGTGAACATCATGTAAAAACGTGTGTGTACGCGCGTGTATGACATGATCAAGCGTCCACGTATGGGTCGGTTATTAAAAATTCCCTGCCTTATAACTCTATTGGACATCTTGAAGTATCTGATCAGAAAGGCATTGTGGGCGCTGACGTTCGCCTCCTGTACAGCCACCAGCTGTTCTCTTCAATCAGTAGGTTGGACTGATGATAATAATGGTCTGATTGAACTGAAGACTCATCATTTTGACTAGTTGTACAAAACGGGCATATGCCTATGAGAATGGGCCTTATGTCTAACAATATGCTCCCTACTCGACATAAAAGGAGACAAATATAGATGCTAACCATTTAGACGTGTAGACAAGATTCCAGCTGGATGCACATTAATTGATACCATAAAAACGGAACATGCAGTCATTCAAGGAATACTTCACCGCTATTATTAAACTGAAAGAAATACACATTTTAAAATGAAACTGAGAATTATTACAACTAATCGTTATAAATATTGATTTAGTATAAATGGTTTTTAGTTATTCATTTTCTGCGCAATACATATCTGTCTGTTCTTAATGCTGACCTCTTCCACTTTACTTCAGGTCAATAAGACCTACCACGGTAGAAACCTCCGGTCACTGTATTTGGTGCAATGTTGCCATCTAGTGGATTTATAAAGATATTGCACGACGAAGTGTAGCGTATTCACTTCCACTCAGGTCAGTTGTATTCTCAAACGTAGCACTTGCATACTAAGTAACATGCAGATAAATGCCATCTGTCCAAATTGCTGTTTTTCTGTGCCCATTAATTAACATGGTCAACAAATGTGGACAAGGTCAATGAGCTTATGGATTCATGAGAACAAGCTGGGAATGTAATAGATGTTGTAGGCAACATCAGAAGGTAAACAGTTCAAACAAATCATGTGGATTCACTTTAACCCCCCAGCCTCCAAATGCAGTATCAGATGTGACTCAACACATATCAGTGTTATTGTCTTAAGGGGGATTTTTTTAGAGGTTTATAGGAATTTTTGAATCTGTTGTTCTTGTTTTGAATGAATGCGTATCTCTATGTTTTGAGGTGGAGTTTTGACTTAATGTAGGAATGAACTTTGGGGGGAACAGCCAGCCTACCCATTGAAGGCAGAGGTCAATGTCTCTGATTTCAGAGTAGAAGGCTTATGTTTCATTTAAAATGACTAAAACATGTTTTTGAGTGTATGAGTGTGTGTGTGTTTTAATTGTAACACATAATGTTCATATTGTAAAATTAATACAGCTTTGTTTTGTGGTTTCTGTCCTCTTTGGATTGTGACCCATTAAACTGAAGCGCTGTCCCACTGGAGCTCCTCATCACTGTTTGTATTTGTCTTCAGTCATTTCGGCCAAATACATGTTGTTTTTGCTAAATTAAATGTTTTGTTCCATTAAATCATTTTATATTTATACAGTTAAGTTTATAAGTTAAGTTTTGATTAGTGCCAAAACATAACATCATAGTTTCCTGGTTAGGTGTTTAAAGATGGGTTTGTGATTCTTTTCGGAAGCATTATTTGTTACATATCTTGGAATTCTCTTTTCATCCCCATGGCAATGAACGCATCAAATGCCCTGACAACATAAAGAAACAAATCTGTCATCTCTGGCAACAGCAGGGCTGAAAAAAGCATTTTGTTGAGTGCATAATTTTACGCAGCATGAGCAAAACTATTGGATGACCTACCTACCTGTCAACCTTTTTCCTACTTGTGCACACTCTGTCCTTGCAGTACCTACCTGTCAACCTTCTTCCTACTTGTGCACACTCTGTCCTTGCACAGTGTGTGAGCCAAGAGTCTCCCATAAGGCCAGGCAGCCAGACATGTTACTGCTCTGTTTTGATAGCTAAAGCTAGCGAGCAATGCCAGAGAAGGTACCCACAGCAGCTTTCGCTCACAACTGGAGTCTGTTGTTACAGGCCAGACCTCCCTCTTTAAGACAAATAGCCTTATAGGAAATGTTGTTGTTGCCTGAAGTTGCTACCTGCATGCAGTATGAGAGCGAAAAGACGCCACATGGAACAGACTCCTTTTACTGCAGCCACAGGTGGGGAAAATACCAACGGTAGTCAGTTCTCAGTGTATAGATAAGATTGTACTGCAGTTAACTGGCCATCAAAGGCCACATGCAGTGTTCATGTTACCAAGACAGAATAAAGCCTCTGTTTTGAACGGTGTAAGCTGGTCTTCCTTGTCACTACTCCCTGCTGGAAAAGCCTGGACCTCTAAGGCTAGTTACCGGCTATGAACCAGGGCTAAACTGCTTTAGCCATGAACAGTTTAGCCATGAACCATCAGTTTTGCTTTACAGTTCATGGTGAGAGAACAAAAGCGGCTGAAAAGTGACACCATGAGGACCGTATTTCTGCTGGACAGGTAATTATCAGTTTTGCTTTGTTTGGGGGGGCATTTATTATTTTCCTGAAATCTGTATGTAGTCAGGTAGTGCACATTGCAGTGTGCATTGTGTTTTGGAGGACTGGCTTTGGAAGGAAGTCAGAACGACAGGGTTGATTTCTTCAGTTATAGCCTATATAAAAGAAGGCTTTCTGTCTAGTCTCATGATCCCAACTTAAAAGAGCAAAAATGGTTCATCGACAATTTCCAAGAATACTTCTGCTCAGCTGCTACAAGAATAGCTCTGGGAATCCCACGGCTACTGTTTACCGATGGCTGCGTAAACCCACCAAGCAAGTTGATTTCTCTGACATGCTTTGGCCTTTATTATTAACTAAACACATGCTGTGTGTTAGTCCAGTGAAGCTGGTTCATGTGACACATGAGGCACATGGTACACAGTCATTCAAGGTCATGGCTGATTCACCACTAATCATAATAAGAGGTACAATGACTTATCATCATCACTGTCCCGTTTATCTCACTTTCCACAGTTTACCTACATAATCACTTATCTCCCTTTTATCCATGGTCTGCTCATCTTCAGTCATGTCAAAATAAATGAGTTGAAATTGCTTCTTGTATTATTTAAAGACTTTTTACAGACTATCCCAATAAACATATAATAAAGCAAAGCTGAAATGATTAGTTGATTGTTTCAGTGATAATACTGGCTCCAGAGGGGGCATTTTCACAGTTTTTTTTTTTTTTTTACAGTTTATAGGCAAATCAAATACTTTACTTAAAAATGAAACAAATGGCAGATTAACTCATAATGAAATAATTAATTGCAGCACAACTGTAAACCTGCTAATACACATTTTTATTTGATATCAGAACTCAGCAGCTAAATGACCACACACTGACCAAAGGATTTATCAACACACTGGGTTCAGATGTGCTGAGATGTACTATTAGATATTTTACTTTCCACAGTGCCAGCAGTGCTGTTACACGACTCGCAGTAGATCACATTGTTTTTTATTTAGTGGAAAAGAGAAGGACAAAAGCAGAAACATAAGCGTTTCCCAAAAATGTGTGAAGTGCCTTCACTAACATAAAGCTAGCAAAAAAAGGTCAGTGGTGTTAAGTTTAACATGTGGTGCATCTGCCCTTAAAGTACTTAGATCACTTAACCTCTTCTGCTTTTTATGACAGGGAAGTGAAATGAAGTTGTGGACCAACAGAACAGTGGCTAGTATTCTGTAGGTGTAATGTTGTTTAAGTGGGCTTTTCTTCCATGTGATGTGGAATTTTGGTAAATCATGCATCTCTGTAGCCACATACCTAATAATTACACTGTAATTTCAAATTGTTTGGAGCTGCTTTGTATCTCTGAAGGGCGCTCAGTTCCCAAAAAGTAATAATATTGTGCATTCAGTTTATTTACAAAACACTGGATTTACAGGAGGTCAGACTGGTAACTGGAAAAATATGAAGGGTCAGCAGTTTTAATTACAGGAACAGCAAAGACAAACAATTTTTTTTATAAAAAAATATTTTAGATTTTGTCAAGTTTTCTCCTGTGCATCACTTTCATCTAATCCAAAAACAGAGAGCATACAAGTCACTCTTTGGTTCAACAGTTCACAACCGATGTCTACACTGTGACGAAGATTCATAAGGTGATACTGCTTCATCTTAAAGGGCCACAACTCAAAAGAACTGGGAACCATTGCACTAGATTAACCTTACTACGTGAAAGCTACTAATAGTGAGTGTAAGGCCAGTAACTGCCAGTAATAAATAGCAAGAAATAAACAAATGATTATTGTAAGGTTGAGTAACTAACAGACACACTTCCACTGCTGTCAGGAAAAATAGGTTACCGACTCTGGAGATGCCAGCAGTGACTAGCACTAACTAACAGTAGTGTAAGAATCTGCCCCTTTTTTGGTTTAGAGGTCAGTGCTCTGAGGTAAGCACTTACTCCATAAGTTTCCCACGTGCTTCAAGAAAAGCATATTGAGGAACTCTGTATGAGAGCTCAGTTTTCATATTACTATACATATTCTCAGGGTTTCCATTTCCACATTAGCATTAGTTCATATGCTTTATAATACTGTATGTCCCACAACTGTGATGTGGCAGGCAAATCTATAGCTGCTCCCCAGAGATAGACAGTGAGAGCAAAGGAGGAATGGGAGGAGATCGTGACACAAAAACTACATCTCTTGGCAAGTACAGTAACAGAAGAAAGACAATGAATACAATATCTTAGCTAACAGGCAACAAAGGAAGCAAGTTCAAAGCAAAATGACAGCTCTGTGATTTGCTTTAGTGAAGGGGGGGTTTCAATCAAAACGCCACACTCCCACCTACATGGTCAGGGAAAAGCCTGAGCAGCTGATGACATTTAAACCTGCTGTTTGTTGGTCAAACGAAAAACAACTGTTGAGGTTTCGGTTCTCTACAACACGTGCAAGGTGTTTTGAGTGAACAGTGAAAATCCAACGTTAAGTACAAGTGAGGTAGTGATGCCTTGGCATGAAAATAAAAGGCCATTGTGTTGAAAGTTTTATTTCATGAATCATTAAGAAAAGCTGCATATTACAAACACCATGAAATAAGCTAAAATAAATAAAAATATTTAGAATTGTATATAATTAAACACAAGTTTTCTTGTCCAGTGTTGGGATGCTCTTATTTTCTGTTATGGTAATGTTTTTACTGATGTCTGTTCTTGTTGTTCTTGCGTCTCCTCAGTCTGTAATAGAATACAAATAATGATGGAATTAGTCTGAAATAAGTCTGATTATGTTCAAAGCAAACAAGCACAATAGGCTATATTTATATGACCCCTTTCAAAATAGAAGGTACAACCTTGTCTACATTATGTAATACAAGCAAAGTAAGTAATAAACTGAATAACTGGCAGAAACTAACAACAACTGTGGGGGAAAACCAGTTTGGCTTGCAGGTGACTGGCAAAAAGCAGGAACACAATGACAACTGATGAGAGGAAATAAAAGTTGAATGCCCCACTTTACACCACTGGGAGGCACCGACCTGAACTGGCTCCACTCGCTCCACTGTGAGTCACAAAGAGCATCCTTAGCTCGGATACACACGACCTTGGCCTTATGCTTGACTTCAAACTGACAAATATCTGTAGAGTGGACTGTGAGGATCTAAAAAATAAATAAATAGTTTAAAAAAATACATTAGTCACTAAAGGTCTGCAGTATTTAACCTTTGTTGTGATTTTCTGTGCACTGTTCTGTAATGAGTCAAGGAATTTCCTGTCACTTGATCCAAATATTCTGTTTTAAGTTTGACATTACTTTCACACAGTGTGGCTATTTAATATGAAATTTACATCACAATCACTAGGTTCCTCTTACCTTTGTTGCTTTTGAGTCAGGGCATAGGTTGCCACACTTTTTGCACCTCCGCTTGAGCTGTGCAATCTGGAAAGTGAGGGGGAAGTAGGAGTAGGGACTACTCCAGGAGCTTGGGTAACTCCACTTTATCATTGTTGTGTTGACTTTACTGATTGTCACCTTGTCAGGTTTCACTGTTGAGAGTTAAAGCAAAACAATAACAGTGAGGTCACAGAGACAGAGAGAAACAAATATAAACAGAACAAAGAGAACAATGAGTTATGTGCAGACGAATCTCGCTGAAATGTCTCACCAATCTCTGACAGGAAAAACTGTTTGGTGTAGCTCTCTATCAGGAAGTGCTCAGTCCTCACATAGACAATGATCTCGATCTTCCGGCTCTCCTCAGCATAGGGGCAGTACTGCTCATCCAGGCAGGAGATACTGTATCCGCTCTTGTTCACTGAACATCTGAAGTTACTCTGACCCGAGGAGCATGTCCAACGTAGACCACTAGTGTCCACGGAACACTGGATGTCACTGTCGTCAGAAACACTGCAGAAAATTGCAAAAAAAAGTTGCTTTTTTATTTAGGATCACACAGATTTTGTAGTTTTGGCTTTGATTTCCATGCCAAGAAGCTGCAGCAACTTCTCATAGACAGTGAAAGAGCACTTACTGATAAGTACAGCAGGAGCAAAACATCTATCATCCAAGTACATTTACAGCAGTATTATTTTTTACATAAAATCCAATCCCAAGACATGACCTTCAAATAGCATAAAACGTACTCAGCGATGTTTCCTTTCATAAGAAGGTATTTATGGATGTGACTGTGTAGTCTCAGCTCTGACAAGAGTCTGAGCACTGTGTTATTATTGGAGAGCAAAACAGAAAACATATCAGTAGTTTGTGAGTTTACCGTTGAGCTTTGATAAATGCTACTTTCCCAATGCGGCTGCTGTGCCAGGTCCAAGAGCAGTGGAACTCTCCGTTGTAATTCTGAGCAGAGCACTTTAAATATTCTTCTAATGAAAGAAGATGAATAAACATGGAGAGATGGGAACATAGAAAACAAACAATTTAGCTGTGAAAATACTTTACATTTTCACCACTTTAAGTTGCTTTATGACTGTGACAGTGTGGTGGTTTACTCGTACCTTGGTCATTTTTCACCAGAATCTTCCTCTTCATGGTTTCACCCTCTTGGATCAGGACCACAGTGCGATCAAGCAGTGATCCATCCTTGCTGTGGCATGTGTATTCACCCCCTCCTAAGCTTTCCTCCAGGTGCACCAGGTATGAGTTCCCTCTCTGTGGTTCCTCCACTCCGTTCTTCTTCCAAATAATATCCTGACTCTTGTTGGCTCTCCTCGTCACCTCCTCTGGTGACCCCAAGCAGCTCAGGGTCTGCTGGCCCACAGAGCCATCCACCTCCACAACCAGAACTAGCACATACATAGAGATGAAAAGAAGTTGATGTACAATAACTTGAACTCAGGGTAATGTAATCACACAGAGATCATACATACTATTGGGAGGCAGAGTCCAGTGGCTCCTAGGATTTTGGCAACTGACTTGTAGAAATACAGAGATGATGCTGAAATAAAGTAACTTCATCTGAATGACAGAGGGAAGACAGAGAGTGAGGTGGCGAATGGATGAGAAGAAGAGAAAAGAAAGTAGAAAAGAGTAAAAAAGTGAATAATGGAAACAAATTAATAACATTTGTACACAAGATTCATAACAAAATACGTCATAAAACTGTTGCTGTAATTATTCAAAACAATGCATAAATTGTACAACACAAAAACATGGACATAGCCAAAATAGTAGTAAGTTAAGACCAATCAAAACAAGACAACACAAAAGCTCAAAAGCCAGAGATTACAGAACTATTGTTATCTGGCATTACTAAAATCACAAATATAAATCTACATCAGATCAAAATCAAAAGATATTACTCATATCTCACAGTCTATACCAAAGTTACAAAGAGTCCCTATCTGTTTTCATCCATGTGAACTTTAAATAAACCAACACCAAAAAATGTTAACATTAACTGTCATCACCTTCCGACTGCCTCCAAAAAAAAAAAAGCAAAATATTGCACATACAGAAAAAAACCAAACTGATCCAAATTCCATCATCAAAGTAATATTTGTTCCCTGTATTGTTATTAATCGCACAATATTAATAGATTCTATTTAAATGAACTGCTTATTGTTATATTGGATCCCTCTCACATATTAACTTCATTTAAAGTGAAATAAGTAATTGATTAAATCTGCCATCTTACCTTGTCATTAATGTCCAGTGTTAATGAGGATGGTGCAACTCGGAGCGACTTTTATGTGGCACTGTTATTTCAGGCACAAATTTCCCAACATCGCCCCATAAGGAGAAGTCCACATTTCGCTTTTCACCCCGTCATAAATGAACAGAGGCATCCATTTAGTAAAATGTCATTTAAAGTCACTTCCTTTTGTTCCTCACTGACTAATGCGCTCATGCTTTTTATGACCCTTGAAACACTGCGCGACATCACTTCAGTGTTTTGACCCTTTAATGTTATTGTTGTTTGCTAGTTGTAGTTATTACTTCCTTAGCCTACCTGTTTGTTTGGACATTCATTTTCACTTTCAGAACTAAAGCAGGTGACTCCATCTACCAGTGATGAAACAACGCCACGCCTTACGAACTCTCTGTGCGCCACTTTAAACTGCGCCGGTAGGGCTTTTTCCCGCCGTGACAGAATTTCACAATGTCACACTGTATTTTACTATTACAACACTGAAACGGAAAACAACGAATTATCCATAACGTCAACGGGAGAGCCTGCGGTTAGCCGCTACGACACGACTAGGAAACAGTCGAGCAGCTGAGTGATGCCCATCGTTTAACCTGTCATAGCTGGGGGTCGGCCGCCTGGGGGGACACGCAGCGTGCACCTGGACTGTGAACTGAATGGCACCAGGTGCCTCGCCCCACCATCTCAGAGTCACCATTGACTGTGGCGATGCTACATTTGATGGCCCTCACATCTCTGGCAGTGTCATTGGGAATACCAGGGAGATGGTGGGGTGAGGCATCCACTCAGGAGTTACCAGAGGGGCCTCAGTGCCAGTGCAGGTCACCCCCAACAATTAAGGGGCTTCGTTATGACTGTGGTTACTGAGGACAGTGAACTAGCCAGGTGGGGGCTGTGTAGCACTGCGGACAGACAGGTGGGATACCCCATAATGCCCAAGGGGAGAAGCACCTGGTGGGTTCCATAATAATTCCCCTCTGAGTGGGATGTATATAGTTATGTGTGTTTTGTTGCTGTGTGGTTGCACCTGTTGTGAATAAAGCAAGAAAAGGACAAGCTCTGGTTTTTGACCCTTCTTTACCCGGCCAGCACTACAATATTAATATTCATTAATTATGCTGTTCATATGTCCAGTCTTTGTAGAATTATTATGTTTGATATATAAAGGCCTTCTGGTTGGTCTGTGCCTAATGCTGTCCACTAGCAGCAACACTGGAAAACATTATCATCCACACTAATTGTATTTTGTTTAAAGTCTTCTCACCTATGGCATCTTGGTGTGGGCTGCCAGCTGTACTGGGGCTGACAAAGCTCTTCAGAGAGTCATAAAATCAGCAGCACACAGGTACTGTACTTTCACATGAGGTCATATACTGAGCTAGGTACCTGCACTGGGCCATAAACATAATCAAAGTCTCATTTTACCTAGGACACCACCTTTTTACTCTTCTGCCCTCTGGAAGGTGATATAGGTGTATTAAGGCCCACACCTCTAGATTTTATGAACAGTTTTTATCCAAGTGCCACTGAACAACTGAAAACTGTTCAAATCTGCTG